CCTAAACATGTGGTTCAGCCTTACATGGCAAGGGAAGGTGTTCTCAGGCCATAATGGCTAAAATATTGTTTTCAAATAGTGTGTTCATCAGAAAAGACACACTCTGGGTTTTGGTTTTAGACAGACATAAATTAAGGAGCCACTTAAGGATCCCTGCAGTTTTATTTGGAGAAAAAAGGAGAGTTGCTTCATGAAGGGAATCAAAAAAGGCCTAATTGGCCCAAACACATGGTTCAATCTTGTGTAGCAAGGGAAGACATTCCCAGGCCATAATGGCTAAAAAACTGTTTTCAAATATTGTGTTCATCAGAAAAGAGACACTCTGGATGATAATCATGGGTGGCTTCATGAAAAATATACTTTTATAGGGAGCTGCAGCTTATTTAACCCAAGGTCCCTGTTTCAGTGAGCAGTGTCCATGTGCAGCATGGGAGAATTCCTATTTGGCACTGGAGTCCTTTCCATCCAGAGAAGGAAAATCTCTGATCGAATTTGGGGATAATTACAGGGCATAAAGTATGTCCTGTTATCCATCACAGCACAAGAATTCAAAGAATTTCTCATCAGCTCTTTCAGGCAGACCAAAGAAATCCCAAGCCTCTCTCAGAAGCTCCTACAGCTCTTTTTCCAAAGCAGTTGTAGTGATGTGGAATATCAAGCAGGGAAAGCTAATCAGAACAATTCAAAACAGAAAAGTTAAAAGAAAAGACCAAGGGAAAAATAAATCAATGCAAGACCCGGAGGCTTTTACCAACCGTTCTTTAAGTAAAATTAATTTGTAATGTAATTAAACTTTTCCCCAGAGGGACAGGTATAATTGAATTAGAGGTGCCTGGGTAGAGTTTCAGGATTTAGAGGATCCTCCCAGACTTTACCACGCTCCTCTCCCGCTGCTGCCCTTCACAAAAAGCCTCCTCAGTTCCTTTCTAAGCACCTTCCACGAAACAACACAATTAGAATTTATTTCTCTCTTGCTCTCCCCCAGCCCAGCCAAGTCCTGCTCCTCTGCAGCGAAGTTTTCTCCTCATGGATTAACTTTAAAACCATTTTTAAACTCTGTCACTCTTACAGTTAAAGGATTTTGCCGAGTATTTCCAGGAGCTGTTTAAAATCCCCTGGTTTTGTGCTACCTTGTTCTGCTGATATCTAAGGATCTGAGCACAAATCTTGGGCAGAACAGGGTTTTCAAGAACTCCTCGAGGGCTAAACCCCAGCTGGGCTCCCTCGAAATGTGTGTGTGATGCAGAGTTATTCCAGCAGGAGAGAGAGGAGCCAGCTCCATCATTGCAGTAACAAAACAACCAGCCCAGTCCCACACATCTGAAGGCCTAAAATATTCCCTGAATTCAAAATTGAAGGTGAGATTAACAGGAAAGATGATGCTGTGAAAACTTTCCCTCAGGAAACTGGATAGAAAGCTGTAGGTCATCCCTGACACAAAGACAGGCTTGAATGCAGAACCACAGCTCGTCATCCTGAAATTTGGGAGGGTTTGGAGGCACAGGACACTTGTAATTTAAGAGGTTTGACTTAGAGGCCATTTCAGCAGACAATTCTCAGAAGTTCTTAGGTCTAAAATTACATTACAATAGGTTTCTTCCCCCAGTTTCCATTACATTATGGATAAGACAGACCAGGGACAATCCTCTCCAGAATGAACCCACAGTGTCTCTGCTTCATCTTGGAGAAAACTTATCTTAAAAAACTAAACAAAACCCAAACCAAACAAGCAAAAAACAAACAAACAAACAAACAAACAAACAACGCCACAGCAAAAAAAAAAAATTATCTGATGTGTGTTAGAATTTCCAGGAGGGCCATTCATGGGGAGATTTAAATAAGATGTTAAGGAAAGATTGTTTAATCAGAGGCTGGGGAGGCCCTGGAACAGGTTGCCCAGAGAAGCTGTGGCTGCCCCATCCCTGGAAGTGTCCAAGGCCAGGTTGGAGCATCCAGGGCTAGAGGAAGGTGTCCCTGCCCGTGGCTGGGAGTGGAACTGGATGATCTTTAAGTTCCTTTCCAACCCAAACCATTCTTTGATCTCTGGCCTTTATTCTCTCTGTCACAGACACTAATCCTGTACCACCCTATTTAAAGACCTGTTTAATACTTAAACCTGTACAAGAACATCCACAAACCCTCTGATTCCTTGGATATTGTGGGTTTGTCTGTGACCCCCCTCTGTGCTGCCCCTCCCCAGTTCCAGTGGTGGTCCCATCACTGTTTATCTGCAGCCACTGATATTTCTGTTAGTGAATTTAAGGGATTGATTTGGGAAACACCTCTCCAGACCTTTCCAGGTCTTACAAGGAAATCATCTCACAGCGGTGCAAAGACAAGCCCCAGGAAGCACCTCTGGCTGGGGGGATGCTGAGAATTTAACTCCCGAGAAATCCCAAGTTTCTTTGGGGATTCTCTGACTCTTCCATTCAATAAAAGGCCGTGGGATCCCTCACTCTCAGCTCAGTGATACTCCAACACCAAGAAATTAAAGTTTGCTGCCCAAGTGTTTCTGGAACCAATTGACATTGCAGAGCTCCCAAAAAAGGCACACACCCCAATCCCTGATTCCAGGCACGACACTATTTCAATGTTCCCTATTTTTGTAGCTTGGAAGCCTCATTTGTGGCCTCTGTCCCAGATAAGTTTCCCACCTGGAGGTGCCTCTTTAATTCTAATGGACAGAAAGCTCCTTTCCAGCTCTCCCAGGAACTTGGAGTAGAATTTGCTGGCTCATGGATCTCTTTGTGTTCTCTGAGAAAAGTCACTGCATGAGGTGCTCCCAAAACTGAGTCCTGGAAATCTGAAGCCCTCTTTTTTGGAGTTGAAAGGCTTCAAGTGTGTGGGGGGTTTTTTCTAGACATTTAGGCCTAATTCAAGAGGAAATCCTAATCCTCAAACTTCTAATTACTCTGCCAATCTGGCTTATTAATTCCTCTGTTAAATTTAGGTAATGAATAAGCAAGACTGACTTCTCTGTATAGTCTGTCTCTCTTTTCAGTCTAAATCTTGCCAAAAAAAAAAAAAAAAAGCCAAACCCAGACTTGAAAGAAGTTCCTGTTCTTCTTATGTATCTCTCATTATAGCTCCATTTACCTGATGATATTAAATATTTCAACAAATATTAATAAGGACATTTTTGATGTCAGAGCAGTTGGTATTCTTGACCTTTTAGGTCTATTAAAAAAAATCTTCAAAAGTTTGCTTCTTTGTAATAAGGTAAGACCCAAGGATCTGAGGCAGGAAATATTTAAGTCTGTAATTTAGATAGAAATCAAGGAAAATTAGGCAGATAAGTATCTTTAAATATCTAAGCTGAAATGATTAGACTTTTTGAAATATTTGGGGTTTTTTTCCTGGTCTTCTGTTCTCCTGTTTCAGAAGTTTTACTTCACAAATTCTGCTCTGGTCTCATCTCAATATCAAGTGTTGAACAAAAGGATTTGTTCCTGGCCATTTTACAGAGGAAGAAGTGGCCAAACAAATGGCTCTGACTTCCAGAAACAAACTCCCATCCCTTCCCTTCAGAAGGGAGAAGTCTCAGTGTCCCACTTTCAGGGTCACCACGTTCTCTCCTGAGGAATTTCTACAAGTTTGACAGGAATTTTTGGGTTTTAATTTTAGGGTTTAAGTTTTCTAGGAATCCTACCCTACAACCTTCATCAAAATACACAAAAAGGCCCATCCTCCACCTTCCATATTTATTTAAATCAGGTTTTGTGAGCCAGGCTGTGACCCCAGGGAAGCACTGGGAGGTGTGAAGGCTGTGAAGGCAGAAAGCCTCCATTTATTATTCATCACGAGACAAAGCCAGATGCGATTTTCAAACCACAAAAAAATCCCCTTTCAGAAGCACTTCTAAACTCTCTGAGCAGAACTGGCAGGTGACCACAGGTGAAAATAAAAGCTGTAGCACAAATACAGTATCATTTTCTCTCTGGTGTCGTTTCCATCACGTATTTTCACAGAGGGCACCGTGACATCCCTCCCCCTGATCACACAGTGAGGAGGGCACACAACAAAAAAGGATCTTCTGTAAAGTTGTAACCTTTTAAAGACCATGCCAGTCATCACTGAACCGTGGGGAATTAGTGTGGGGTTGTATGAGCACAGACAGAGGTTTTTGTCTCACATGTGGTGCTGTCCCAGGGACACCAGAGCTGGCAGAGCTTTGTGTCCCCAACAGGAACCACCCCTGGAACAGATCAAAGTGGCAGCAATTTGCAGTTCTCTGGGCAGACACAGGTTGGGCAGAGCAACCTGCCTTTCCCCAGGGAAAAAAAAAACCTCCCCCTCCTTTCTGTCTGACACAGAACAAATCCTTCTTCCTGCAGGATTTACATCTGGTTGAAGCTGAAGTTTGAAATAACCTTTGGGATATCGTTCCCATCTCAAACCAACACCCTGCCCTGGGGGATCTCTTCTGAATTGTGTGATTGAATGACTGGAAACATGATTTGAGAGAGAATTGGGATTGTTCAGCCTGGAGAAGAGAAGCTTTGGGGTGACCTATTTGTGGCTTTCCAGGACCTCAAGGGATCCTAAAGAAAGATGGAGAGAGACAATTTGCAAGGGCCTGGAGTGACAGGACAAGGGGGAATGGCTTCCCACTGCCAGAGGGCAGGGTCAGATGGGATATTGGAAAGGAATTCTTCCCTGGGAGGTTGGTGAGGCCCTGGCACAGGTTGCCCAGAGAAGCTGTGGCTGCCCCTGGATCCCTGGAAGTGTCCAAGGCCAGGCTGGACGGGGCTTGGAGCAACCTGGGCTGGTGGAAGGTGTCCCTGCCCATGAGTTGGAATGAGATGATCTTTAAGATCCCTTCCAACCAAAATAATTCCATGATTCTGTGACTTATGAATTACTAGAACCACTGACTAAAGCATTCCTGAGCCTGTGCTGAGGTGACCCTTGGGAAGCTGAACCCCAGAGCTCCCGGGGGGGTGCGCGAGCACCAAAAATGTGGATTTCCTCAGGGGAAAGGTGGAGCTTCCAGTACTCACAGAGGGCAGTGGTGAGCTTCTCAGGCTGGTCATAGTGCACCATGGCCACACAGAGGGTGTTGAGGGCCACCACACACAGGACAATCCAGTAGAAGCTCTGAGCCTTCACCATGCGCCGGATGAAGAACCGGAACATCTTCTCTTTCCTCCTGAAGTAGGACGAGCTCTCGTTCTTCCCGCTCTTCAAACTGGCGCGGGCGAAAGGAGACCCTGGGACAGAGAGAAGAGTCACCACACCCCACCCTGGCAGGCAAAAGGCTGGAGGGCATCTCCTGGGCACACAGAGCCTCTGCCAAGCACCGGGAACGCGGCTGAGCAGAAAGCTGGGCACGCTGGCCACGGGCTGAGCGAGGGCATCTGGCTTGGGATGGTGCCATGAGGGATGAAGGCTGGGGTTTTAAAACTTCATGAGTCAATGAATCAGTGCCCAGCTCCGCCATCTAAAGAAACTGGGCTTCCAAACCTTTGGAACAATCCTGACTGCCCCAGTTAAACTCATCACTCGGGCTGGAAGGACAGGAAGCACCGGGCACAGTGATGGTTCTGCCCGTGGTGTGGAGCACGTCCTCATGGAGCTGGGACCTGGCAGCAGGAAAGCTGGTCCCTATTTCTCCTGCTCCAAGGACCAGCCCTTACTGCTGAATGGAATGAAGTCTCCTTATTTCATTCTCCAGCTGCTTGTATTTCCTGAGCAGAGGCCTCAATCTGCCTCCCTGCATCAGATTTTGGGTGCAGCTACTCATTTGTACCAATTCTGCCTAAACCAGATGTATTTCCACTCCGGTCTGAAACCCTGGAAAGAGCCAAATGTTTGAACAATAGGAAGCTGATGGAAGAAATTCTTTCTGCTGTTCAAATGAAGGATGAAAGGGCAACCTCTGGCCAGTGCTGAGCAGGAGAAATCAGCACAGGTTAGGAGTAAACACATGGAGCCATTGGGGTTCCTCTGCAACTGCCACAGATGCTGTTGCAAGCAGGGAAAATCATGATTGTTGCTGTCCACTAGTTGTGTCACGCTCTGCTGGCCCTCAGGACCTTTTTTCAAGCTGATTTGTGGCAGGATAATACACTATTGCCCTTCCCCATCGTGGGATGGAGCATCCCTGCAGGAAGGGCTGAGCAGGACACATGGGCCTGCCTTGGACCAAGCAGATGATTTACATGGAGATGGCTGAGCTACAGGAACAAAGTGTTCTGGCTGCAGCAGCCAAATCTTGGGGTGTGAGCACCTACATTTCAGCATTTGGAAGGGGCGGGAATCTCACCCTGTTTCGTGCTGCAATAACATCAAACACAACACCCATAGAAAGGATGAAGCATCCAGATGTGACAGCAGCAGGTTCTCCAAGCCTCACAGCTCCACAGGAGCGTGATGGAACGTGAGCCCAGTGGAACATGAGCTCTCCACTCCATGGCCCATTTCTGGCCACCCACCAACACATAGAGCTGCCCTTGGCCAGGCTCTGAACAAAGTCCTTGCAGAAAAGCTTGATGTGCTGTTCTGTTAGTTTGCTAATCCTGCCTTTGGCAGTTTAAAAAATAAATCACAGTGCTCCTCCATTGCTCTAAGACAACAAAAAGAGCTCCAGTTTAGGATTTAGGCTGCACTGCTTAGCAGGTAGAGAGCTCTCAGATATTCATGCCACTCTGTACTCCCAGATTTGCAAGGGAATAGTCTCATCTCCTCCACTGATCTTTCAGAGGAGAAAACCACTTTGTATTTAAGCTGATCTAACATAGAAAATATCCACTTCTCTGGGCTTTGCTGTCTGGGAATCCAGACAAGTGTCCTGTGTCTGGGACAGTGTGGAGGGTGGGAAGGCAGAGAGAGCAGCTGCACACTTATTAGTGTGGAATGAGAGGCTGAGAGTTGGGAGGAGAGAAAAGAACAAATGCTAAGAACAGCTCCAGAGGACACATTGGGAAGTGTTCAGCACTACAGAGCTTTATAATGCAATTATGAGGCTCCTTGAGGTGCTTGTGTTGGAATTCAAGAGCCAACGGGCAGTGAGAGCCCTGTCAAAGCCTCTCCCCCTGGTCTGCACCTTCCCCTGGCACTCAAGAATGATGCTGCTGGTTCTTCCACCCTCCTTCTGCTCCCACCAGAAGACATCGCAGAAAACCAGCCAAGAAACCCCTTTGCTCAAAAAACATATTCTTTATGCCTAATTGCCCACGTGCTGTGATTGTTTGTGTTCTGCAGAGCCTCAGCCTCTTCAGGAGCCCGTGAAGGAGCTGCTTCATCCATCTCTCCTTCTCTGTCTCGTTCCATGGATCAAAATCAAAAACACTTTTCCCAAGTGGGTGAAGCACTGCTGTTATTTTCCCTGCCATATGCTCCTGAGACAGTTCCCAGCTCTGCAGCAGATTATTCACGAGCCCAGATGCTCCGTCATCCGTTGCCACCTGAAATGCCTGAATTCCAAGATCTGTTGGCGTGGCATGGGTGCCCAGAGCCTGGAGGGACTTGGATGGGAATGCAAAGAGCTCGTAATTATTGCAACCACAGACAACTGTTCCAAAAATGACCCTTCCTTGTTATCCATGCAGGGATCCTGGGGGAAAAAAAATAACCGAACCAACCCAAAAATGCACACAGGGGCTGCATTTTTGCCCTCTTTCAGCAACAAGACTCTCACAGGAGTGTCAGCAGTTTAGGCACAAAACCTGCAGCCTGGGGGACCGTGGGTGATGGTGTCAGGAACATGCCAAGCAACATTCAATTCCTGCAACCAGGTCTTGGTTTAAAGGGGAAAAAAAAAAATCCCAGCAGCAGCTCTAATCCCTTAAAACCTTAATGCCAACTTTCCAAAGGGCAGTTGAGGCACTCGTGCTTTCAGAACTCTGCAGACACAGACTCTGAAATGAACTGTTTGTGCCGCTGCTCTTGTGCTCCCAGGATTTGCTGCTTGGTGGGAACTGGGCTGCCAGGATATTTCTTTGGAAGATAATGAGAACATCTGCTGCTCCAGCAGCAAAACCATGTCCAGACTCAAACAACAGGGCCAGGGAGAAGCAAAATACCCAAGTGCAGAGCAGGCAGGAGATGTGCCCCCAGCCAGGGAGGAGCAGCCCCGGGCTGAGAGGCATCTCTGCTGGTGTCCAAACAGCTCCCTGAGCTGGGGGCTGTGGGCTCAGAGCCTGCCAAGCCCTGCCAGCCCCAGACCTGCCTCCTGCCTCTCCACCTGGCTGTGTCTCAGGAGGGAATCAGCTCTGGGAACTGCAGGACAGGCAGCAGTCTGGTAGTCCTGGTCTGCAGAGCTGAAGACTCCACATGCTGCACAGGGCAGGATGCACTGGAGGTGTGGGGGTGACTGGGTGCACACTGGTGTGTATCTCCACATCTGGCTTGAAAAACGTAGAGAATTTCTTTAAGATCTTCTCCTAAGGCAAAAATGAGGGAATTGGGGCCACTGCCCAGCGTTTCCCAGTAATAACTCACACAGCAAGGGCTGCAAACCCACCCCTGTGCATCGGTGGCAGATGGGACTGTGTCCAGTTCCTCCAACAAAGAGCCTTAGCAGTGTCCTTGGACAGATTTGGGGTTCATTAGCATGAACAAGCGTGCTCCAAGCAGAATCCCGGGATGGGTGGCAGAGCAGGGATTCTCCCAGCGCCGGGCAGGGCTCTTGGAAAGGTGCAGCATGCAAGAGCTGAGCCAGGCAGCGCAGGGCAGAGGGTGAAGCCACGGAGCCCTTTGCTTTGGGAAGTCGAGGGGACTTCTCCTTCTTGAAACCGCAGCTTCTGGAGCAAAGGAGCCTCTCAGAGGAAAGATGGCATGGACAGGTTTGGGTGGAGATCTGAACCTGGGGCAGAGCGAAGCCGGTACTCACCAACGGAGCAAATGTCTGTGAAATGGTCCTCACCTTCTTCTGCATGAATCAGGTCGTTTTTGCTCTTCTTTATTGCGGCTCTTTTCAACACTGTGTGCAAATTAAAGAGAAAATGCCCCGTGAGGATGCAGAGTGGATTCTCTCTCCCCCTCCCTTCGCTCTCCAGGGCCAGCATTTCCTTCCCAATGCCAGCTTAGAGCTCTCACACAAGGGAAAGCCGGAGCAAACCGGACAACCTACAACCTTGCAGGGCCCAGTGCTTCGGTGTCGGGGTCCTTTAGCTGTTTGACCTTCCAGATCTTGAAGGTCTGCCAGGAACGGGGCTGGGCGCTCCCGCTGCCCCCAGCAGATGCAGGAGGGTGGGGGAGTCACTGCAGCTGCTGGAGCTTTTAGCACAGCAGAAAGGCTGGCCAGGGTCACTGGATCTTTGTGAGCCCCAGTGGGTGAGGAGATGAGTGCTTCCATCCATTAAAGCCATTAATGCTGTTTACAGTGGGCACCATTAAGGAGTCAGCATTCACGGGCTCCGTTTAAGCACCGAGCAGTGCCTGGAGGAGCAGAAACGCTCCGAGAGAAGCAACTGCCACAAATCAGGGAGCAGCCTCTTAATAGCACCCAGTGTACAGTCCCTGCCCTCTGGGGCTGCTGTGATTCTTTGAAGACACGCTTCTCCCAACAGCATCTTTTGTGGGGAGGGCAGACATCCCTACAGTGTTTTATTCCGACAGGGAAAGAGACCGGCAGCCTAAAAGGCTGGGAGAGCTCTGCACTGTCCAGCCAGTGCACGAGGGGTGAGGCAGGAACTGTGAGGACGCCGGTCCCATGACCACCTACCTGCAGAACCTCGAGAACTGGCAGAAAAAGATACGTTGATACAGTTTGGTAACAGGTTCAAGACATACAGTAACTAAGCACCATTTTCTAGCAGCAGTAAGACACCCCACGGTGTGGTGATACAGACTGGTCAGAAGGCACACACAGCAAACCCACACACTCTGAGCCACTGGAGTCTCCTAGAGAAGATCCCCTCACTCTTCACACGGATTTCCCTGACACAGAAATGGATGTGCTGCTTCCTGCACGGCCAAGGCAAGGGTTGGTTCTTTGGTCGCTTCCAAACACCCAGAGCATCACCTGGGTTCGGAGAGGCTCCAGGAGAAGAGGATGCTCTGAGCCTGTGATCTGGATCCAGGGGGTTTTTTTGGCAAATAACCACTTTTGCACCTTTCTTCCCCACCCAGCTCTAGGCTGAATCCTCAGTCCCAGCAATACCAGCTTTTGGGTCCTCCAGGCTCCATCTGTCCCAGTACACTCCAGCATATCCAGGCCATTCCCAGCACTGGAATGTAACCTGGGAGTAAAATTTTACAACACTCCCTGGCATGAATTGAGCAGCTTCTTTATCTTCTCCCCCAGATAACTCCTACTTGTGTTTAGCAGTGTGCCATCTCTACAGGCACCCTGGATGCAACAGCCCTCTGTTTTGGAGACTGTGAGAGGATTTACCAGCATAGACATGGGCTGCTCCACACCAGTTGCTTCAAGGCTGGGAATGTTGCCGGGCTCCTTTAGTTTAGCAGGATAGAAGGAGCCTTAATATCCCTGGGTCTTGGCTTGTCCCCACCTCTAGTTTGCTCACACCACTCAGCTTTCCGGGCTACCCTTCCAGACGCTCAGGGCTAAGAGCTGCACCCACGTGCTGGACGAACTCCCCCAGCGCACACGACCCACACACACACACGAAGACTGGCCAGGCACACCTCGAACCCTGACCTCCTGCAGCCCCAGCTCTTCCATCCATCCCCGAGTCCTCCCCAGGTGCAGGTCACCAGGCTGGCCAAGGCGGACCAGCAGCCGGGCGCCCGCCGCCCCGAAGGAGCACAGGGAGCACAGGGTGCAAAACCACCCGGGAGACACCCCCGGTGACCTGGGCACGGGGGGCTGTGGGGTGAGGCTGCCCCGCTGTGCCGCCTGAGCCCCTGGTGATTTGCAATCCACTCACTGTTGTAGCTGCTGCCGCTGCTAGTCTCTGCCGGTGCCGTGCCTTGGTGGATCGGCCCTTCCGAGGCGGCCCTCCCTGACAGTGAATGGGAGGAGAAAAAAAAAGAGGAGGGAAGAGGGAGGGGGAGGGGAAAGGAGGAGGAGACATGGGAGGACGAAAGATGGTCAGAAAAGGGAGAGGGAAGAATCTTTAACTGAACTTTGACTGGCTGGCGCGTTCCTACGAGCTCATCGCTCTCGGAGGCACAGGGAGGGCAGGTCCTGTGGCCTCGCTCGGCTCGGTCCCTCCAGCCTGGGTCGCACGTTGGAAGGTAGGATCACCACACCCTGTTATGTCTTACTGCTTACAGCTAACAGGGGTCTTAGTCTCTTTGTCAAATCCGTTTGGAAAACCTCGGTTTGGAGCCCTGCCTTCTCCTGGTCAGCGCGTTCCTCCTCTGGCATCCGCTCTGCAGCCTAATCCCCGCCACGGCCTGGGGGTGGGACACGGCCAGCCCCGCTTGGACAGGCTGACGGGTGTCCCTGTGGTCCCACAGGCAGCGTAGGGACCGACCCCAAGGGCAGATCCCCACCCCAGGGCGGTGTCACAGGACTGCTCATCATCCACCTGCAACCTCGAAAGCACCCGATACGGGCGAAGGGACTCTGCAGCCCCATCTCTGCCAAGGGCATGCAAGAGTGTGTTCCTCACACCCTCCTGGGCACAGTGGAAGGCCGTGGCACTGTCCAGCAGCTGAACCTCTCACGTATCACAGGAGGAAAACGGCACAGCAAAGGGACCTACCGTCCAGAGGAGATTTCTCTTCTGCGTTCTTGTCTTCCTCCGCCAGCATGACCTCCTCTGGAAAAGATAAAACAGCAAGGTTCAACCTCAGGTTTATCACATCCCTGCTCTAAAACCAGCTGCCACCTGCCTTACCCCTTTGTATCACCCAGTTACACCCAGCCTGGGGAGGAGAGGATGGCTCAGAACACTGTGCCCCTCTTGCTCAGGGGAAGGATGTCAGACAAACCACTGGGAGATGCAGCTCTTCCTGCATGATATTCCTCTTCACAACCACCCACCCAGTCCAGTTTCTCCACCCAACTATCATCCACAAGGGACTTCTGGACGCCAAGAACCTTCCTTCAGACCCAAGAAAGCCACAGGGTGGTCCCTCATGTCCTGTCACATGGGAGACACCGTTTGAGAAGTGAGAGATGCTCCACACCCGTTGCTGCTCTTCTGTCTCCATCAGCAGGACCAGGACTCAGCCCAAGGGTAACAGATCTCTTGTGGCACAGGGTGAGACAAGCAGGGCCAGCTGCTGCATGTCAGCAGTGCCACATCTCAGGAGACACAGTGTCACCAGAAAGCCACCACGTCAAATCTTTGCCCAGGTAAAACCCACAAGGTCCCAGGGGGGAGCTCTGCTCAGCACAGTTCAGGCTGTGCAGTGCAGGAACACCATCCCTGCTTTCCACTCATGTGTGATCTCCAAAATACAACTTTATACTTCCCTAAAGTAAAAAAAAAAATCATAAAACACTGTAAAAACCAACCTCCCAAAACTGAATGATTTTTATCTGAGTGAAAGACAACCAAGTTTCCTGAGGTTTCCCAGTGCAAATGTCATCACCCAAGGCAGTTTGCGGAACACACCACGCTGTGCCAGCACTGGAGAAACACTCAGAACCACAGATTTTAACTTGCTGCTGGAAAAACTATGTGAGGATTTTCTAAAGGACAACCCAAAGCAAACAAAACATCGAGTTGGAAGCTGGTGATCTGTACACTTCCTTCTATTGTTATAAATGACAAAATCCTCCATGTGCTTGGCACGGATATAATTTGACTAAAACATCTGATGCTGTGCTCCCACAAAATTTTGCTTTAAAGTCCATTTAAGCCGGTCTAGATTGAAGGGTAACTAAAAAAAATATAGAGAATAAACACAAACAAACCACAGGCCAAACATCAAAGTGTGTAGCTGAGAGCTGTCTAGAAGAATACTAGAGGGATCAGCCTTATATAAGCCTATATAAGCCACACAAGCCTTATATAATCTCTTTATTAATCATCTGGGAGAGAGAGTGAATGATACATTAATAAGACAGTAAATTGAGAAGCCTGAAAAATAATATCCAAGGACTGAGGGAGGCTGGAAAGGCAAGAAGAAATAAGAAAGTGCAAACTAGAGCATGAGAGACATAGAGGAAAGAAGAGCTGAGAGAGGGTTAAAAACGTCAGGTGAGCTAAAAACTGCGCTTTAAAAAGGTATAAAATCCTTCCAAAAACCCACAAGACAAATCAGGTGCTTTTTGAGGCTTCTTAGGATGGGTCAGAAAAGTAAAATGGGCTTTTGTAGACAGTTCAAGAGACTTCTGTGTCAAACCAGCACCCCTTCAAAAGTCTGGCCCAGAGAAAAGCTGTACTGATGTTTGGGGCTAAAAATGTTGGAAGGAAATAAAAAGCAATTACCAGTGAGTATGACTGTCCTAAACCACGAGGAAGGGATGGCTTGGACATGGACACCCCTTCCCAAGGGCTGCTGGTGTCAATGGATCCTCACCCACAAAGGACAGGTTGGTGCCCAAACACATCCCCATCCATGGACACATCTCCATCCATGGACACATCTCCATCCATGGAAACATCTCCATCCACGGAAACATCTCCATCCATAAACACATCTCCATCCATGGACACATCTCCATCCAAAACTCATCTCCCTCCACGGACACATCTCCATCCATGGACACATCTCTATTCATAAACACATCTCCTCCCATGGGCACATCATCCATGGACACATCTCCATCCAGGATTCATCTCCATCCATAGACACATCTCCATCCATGGACACATCATCCATAGACACATCATCCATGGACACATCATCCATGGACACATCTCCATCCATGGACACATCATCCATGGACACATCATCCATGGACACATCATCCACAGACACATCTCCATCCATGGACACATCTCAGCTGGGCTCAGTTTTACTGTTCCCTTTGCAGTCCCAGGTTCCACCAATGAAATTCCCTCAATCCCAGCTCTCCACCCCCACTGCTCCCCAGTTCTCTCTTTTCACAATCACTCCTGTGTGCCTTGAATCCTCTGGGAATCCCAAGGAACACATCCACCCTGGAAGAGCTTCTTGTGGGTTTTAGGCCTGCTAAAAAGCCAGCTCAGCAGGACACTCAACATTTCTAGGAGGGGGTTTAACCACACAGAGGATCAGAATTTGCCTTTAGTCATCACCAAGCCTGGAAGAGGATAATTGGAATGCCCAAAAAACCTCCCAGACCAGTGACTCTACATTAGAAGAAATATTCCACAAAGAGATGGTGTCAGATCAGCCACTTGGAGCCTCCAGACAAAGGTTTCACCAGGATATCAGAGCGAGAGGTGTCTCAGCAGTGTCAGGAATTGCTGGTCATTAAGTACTGGAAGGACTGGAAATAAAGACAAACCTGGCACTGAGGAACTGGAAGGTGAACAATACAGGCAGAGCAGCAGAGAAACGTGGTGCCCCTTCTCTTCCCTTTGGCATGGGGAGAGAGGACATTGTGGGCTCAGATAACTCAGTTCAACAGAAGTCAGGAAAAAAAAAAGGAAGAAAAACTGACTTTAACTGTCAGAGTTGGTAAATAGAAAAAAAAATTAATAAAAATACAGCCCTTAGAAGAAGCTGCCACACTCTCATGGGGAAATCTAATCTGTCTTTCTGGCAATTATCCTTCTTTGCCATCTCACACACGTGTCTCGTTGGTGTAGGTGGCTTTTCCCACCTGGATCAAAGGACTTGTTGCTCTGTTTCTTCCCAAGAAACCTGAAAATTCATAAAGCTTTATCATGTCAAGGGACAGCAGTGAAGTTACAGTGGGCTGGGAGAGAGAGGTGAAACCATTCCCACAGCCTGTTACTCCAGGAGAAGGGAAACCCTCTGAATCAGTGCTGGGGGAAAGAGCTGGAAAGAATTAAAATGCAAAAGACACACGACTTGATTAGCCCTGAACTGAAAGACTTCTGAGCAGAGCATTTTCAAACTGATGCATGTCCTTGTAAGATAAGAGAAACATCTTCAAAAGAATATTTGTGGGCTTATAAGCTCTTTAGTCTGTGCACAGAACTTCTGGTTGGAAATGCAGCATGACAGCCTGATGGATGTTACAGGTTTGAGGAGTTTATTGGAGAAAGTGGTGGCAAAATCATTTGCATGGATTACATGGCTTGGCTTCACCTCTGTTTAATTCCTCTGAAAGGCACAATTGCCTTTAAACTGAAGGAGGGTAGATTTAGATGAGATATTGGGATGAATTTTCCCTTGTGAGGGTGGGGAGGCCCCAGCACAGGTTGCCCAGAGAAGCTGTGGCTTCCCCAGCCCTGGAAGTGTCCAAGGTTGGATGGAGCTTCTGACCCAAACCAGTCTGTGATTCTGTGATAATATAATTCAAATTACAGAGAAGGCTGTGAGAAACATTAAAGACACTTCAGAGTGGTCAATAAATGATAAACATGATGTTAAATTAAAATCCTTGTTGACCAACAGGAGGTAGTGTAGAGATGGAGTGATTTTAGTCACTCACATACTTGGTCTTAAACCAGTTACAGCCCTTGGGGTAAAAACTTGAGTACTACCAAGGCCAAGGAAAATGCCTTTCCAGCTCCAGCAACTGCTCAGGATATGTCAAATATTACAGAGCAGAAACAATCTAAGTATTGAGATGCCATTTGATAAACCACTGGAATGCAGCTTTTCACTCTTCCCACCTTGCATCGAAAATAAACGAGAAAAAACAAGCAACCAAAATGCTCAGAAAGGTTCTTATAAGTATTAGAAGCCTGGTGAACCTTCCATGGGAAGAGAAGGGATGGAGCTGATTGGTTCTGTGTGCTCTGGAGCAGAGAAAATAAGAGGACACAAGGTAGAGGGAAATGAAAGAAAGAAAAGTAATTAAAAGAAGCACAAAGTGCACTCCTGAGCTCTTCCTCTCACTGCAGAAAGGATTTAAACTGAGGGCAGGACACAGTTTGGTGGCTTGGTTTATGTTTTCAAATCAAACCAGCTGTTAACATGTGGAACTCTTTGCTACAAGAGTCGAGGATGGGAAGGATTTAAAACCCATTAGATATTCACACGAATAATAAGAAAACCCTCCAGAGTTCCCTCAGAGCAGAACACCAAGACTTTTGCTCTTTCCTTTACTGCATCTCCCTGCCTGGGGCTGGGCCAGGAGATTTCTGTCCTTCTTCCTCCACCACAGTCCTGGACAAGGAAGAACAACGGTCCAGTTTGAAAATTCCCAATCATTTCCCAGCTGAAATCCCGGCCTTCAGAACAGAGCTGGGAAATCCCTGTCAACAGCACAGTCCCAAATTTCAGAGCCTGAATTCTAAACACTCCACTCCCTGTTCTGCTTTGCCTTCACACTGCATTTGGTATTCAAAGATTTTATTAACACTGCTAAGCTGATTTTAATTACTGTTATTATTCAGCTGTACTAGGAAGCTTTTTTATATTCCTATTGTATTTTCAACAATGCCTTTACACAGTATTTTTATTATTCCCTGATTCAGCTCTTTTGCACACACTTCCCTGTTCTACAAAACCTTCTGGATCTTGTGTTATTAAACTAAATCAAAAGATGTGCATTTTACAGCAGTTTTACTCCGTGTTGGTGTGGCATTTATTCAGCCCTGGCAACACAGAAATAGAAGAGCCAGCCATTCCCACGGGGATGCAAAGCTGGAGCAGGGATTGATTGTACATTTTATAACTTTTCCAGCTCAACTTTAACTCAGGTTCAGCTGATGATATCTGCATGATGATCCCTGCGTGGCTCTTCTTGGCAAAACAGGCACCTAAATGAAAGCTCTGTCCCTGTAAGGGAGTTGTCCTCTTTATTTTAAAGATGGGAAACCAGAATTCAGAGACCAAAAATCACAGGAGCCTTGAAGTAAGATGGCATTAAACCAAGAACCACAGTGCACTCTGCTCCAGCCACTGCACAAACCACTCATTAATTTGAATTTGAGGTCGCTGAAAACAATGAGAAGACAAATTATAAATGGAAAGGAAAGTGAAATCAGAAATTCTTTTTCTGATTCCTGTAGAATCCCAGAATGAGGAGTGGCTGCCTGGCTGGGAGCAGTTGCTGCTGAACAGTCCCAGGGAATAGAAGCCTGACACTAAAACTGGCACTCAATTGTCACTTTGTGCAGGAAATAATGGGCTTGAGCCACCACATAAACAGCGGCTACTTCGTCCTCTTTTACATTTGAAAGCTTCAGTTTTCCCCTCTGGCTGGGTTGTCAGAGCTCATGCCCAGATCTGCAGAGAGACCTGGCAAACCAGAGGGCTGGGAATCACCAACCCTGGGAAGTTCAACAAGGGAAGTGCTGGATTCTGCCCCTGGGATGGGGCAGCCCTGGATATATGGACAGAGTGGGAATGAGAGGTTGGAAAGCAGTGCTGGGAAAGGGCCCTGGGGGTCGTGGTCAGTGGCCAGTTGGCCCTGAGTCAGCAGTGCCCTGGCAGCCAGGAGGGCAAAGCCTGTCCTGGGGGGCACCAGGGAGGGGATTGTCCTGCTCTGCTCTGCCCTGGGGTGGCCTCACCTCAACATTGGGGCAGTTTGGGGTGAATATACAAAATAAGGAAGATATTGAGCCATTAGAGAGTGTCCAAAGGAGGGAACGAGGGTGGGAAGGGCCTTGATTTGAAGCCGTGGGAGGACACTGAGGGCACTTGGGGTGTTCAGCTGGAGAAGAGGAGACTGAGGGGAGAGCTCAGGGCAGTTCCAGCTTCCTGGGGAGGGGAAGAGGAGGGGCAGGGACTGAGCTCTGCTCTGGGAGGACCAGGGACAGCACCCAGGGAAGGGACAGCACCCAGGGAATGGCTGGAGCTGTGTCAGGGCAGGGTCAGGTTGGATCTCAGGAAAAGGTTCTTCCCCCAGAGGCTGGTTGGCACTGCCCAGGCTCCCCAGGGCAGTGGGCACAGCCCCAAGGCTGCCAGAGCTCCAGGAGGGTTTGGATGCTCCTCTGGGGCACAGGGGGTGACCCTTGGGGATGGGTCTGTGCAGGGCTGAGGGTTGGACTGGATGATCCCTGTGGGTCCCTCCCAGCTCAGCACATTCTGTGATTCTGTGATCACTGCCCTCAGGAGGGTACCAGGACCCACAGCAGGGCAGAGCCCCATTCCCTGGGTACAACGAGCCCCTCAGAGGAGGAAGAAGAAGCAAAGCAGCAGGACCAGGTGAAAATGCTCTTCACCCAGGCTGTGCACATAAAACAGAGGCTGTAACTGCAAACAAGGGCCATCTAGAACAGCCCCAGGATGCTCTGGTTTGTCCCTGGCTCGTGCAGCTGATGCTGCAGTGAGTTGCTGTGGCCACACAAGCACATTTTAGCCCAGCAGGCCCCTGGCATCAGCAGGATGAGTGATGGCATGGCCAGGAGTGATGGTATGGTTCGAACACGGTGCCAGGCCATGTTTTCTGAGCTCTGCCAGGTCTATCAGCTGATGGCAGGTGAGTCACTGTGTAACTCTGGCCCTCAGCCTTCCCGTTTGTAAAGGGCAAGGAAGGAGCTGGTCTGTCCACAAAGGCACCTCACAGCCTCTTTGAGAAACCACCACTTCTTTTTCTCTCCATCATTCTTTCAAAAGGGGTTTTCACTTTACTCAGGTGTTTCAGCTTCTCATCAAAGCAAGCAAGGAGGAAATTACCCCCCAGTTTCCTTGATGCTGCATGAAAGAATTGCACAGTGGTTATATGAGGACTTATATGAGTAGCTTATATGATCAATATAAGCTACTGTATAATGCAGAAAGATTATTGGCAATCAAAGGAAAAGCAAAGCAGGCTATTTTTTGTTAAATGGGTGTGTCTGGGTCCTTGTTAAAGTTGCTCAGGGCTTGCAATAAAGTGCAATGTTCAGATATAATGGTTATAAAGCAGTGTTAATATGTGCTGGGGGGAGTTTCATGCAAGTGAGCTCCGTGGCTCATAAAAATGACACTGGGGTGTATTTTACCATCCCAGCAAGAAAGGTTTGTAAAGCAGCTGTGCTGGAAAGTAAATAAAATAGAAATGACTCAGAGAGAGAAACAGTTTCCCCACCGTGGAGACTTTGGGCACTGTATCACTTTTTATATTATGCTGTATTAAGACAATTGCTTTGATCTCAGCAATAAAGGAAGTTGGCTCAGCTCCTTTAGTCTTGCTTAACCAAACCGAGATCTTCTGCAACAACTTTAGTGGGAGTGCTCAGAAATAACTGAAATTATCTTCTGCAACAACTGTAGTGGGAGCTCTCAGAAAGAATCCCCCCAAAAATCCAGCACTGGCTGGGCCCTCTCCAGCCTTGTGTTCCCTCCGTGTCCAACCACACCCAGGACTGCTGCTGGGGCTTTGTCCTCTCTCACCACCAGACTCTACTGGCCATGAGACTGAGGTGAGGAGATCTCTGGCCTTACCTGCTTTGAAGATCCACTCCAGGTACCCGTTGAGCTCCCGCTCGATCTGCTGCTGCCGGCGGAGCTTCAGGAAAGCTCGGCGGTTCTCCACCCGCTCCCGTTCTTTGGCAAATTCACTGCGGAGAGGCAAGAGAGAGGAAAGCACCTGTCACCAGAGGTCATGGAAAACACACAGCCCTCCTTCAGCCTCTCAGGTTGTGTTCATGAAGCTTGTGAAGTCGACAGCAGTGAGTGGAAACCACAGCAAGCGACAGCCGACAAAGTACGACTTGACAGGAGCTAAACCAACTTTGTTTCTCTGCCTCTCTCACCCTGAAAGAACCTGAAAGATTGTTTCCCTGCCTCTCACATCACGAAAGAACCTGCAAACTGCCCTGTGCACACGTTTCTTGTGCCCCGTGGCCACACCACAGCCATTGCAAGGAGATCCTGGTGCACAGCCAGTCACACAACACCAATTATTATCCTCAGCGCTAAAATCCGTCTCTCTCAGCAGCAGAATTTCCCCTGGAAGCACAAGATTAAGTCACAGAGATATCAGCACTCCTGTGAAGAGATCTGCTCTTCCATGACAGCCTTTCATTTTTCCCAGGCTTAAGATGTCTGTGAGAAACAGGAGCTGTGAGTGAGGCTGGGTGCTCTGGGGTCGAGGCGAAGCAGCTCAGATTCTCTGTGTTGAGGGTAAAAATGATCCTGCTATTTGCTAAAATCACATGGAAAGCAAGTATCTGGTATCAAATTATTAGCACAGGGCTGTACAGGGAATTCAGAAAGGAAGGTTCATCCAACCATTGCAATAATCACGTCCAAGTACATCCTGCTGCCCAGCTTGAAATGATGCTGAGACAAAAGCACAGCCCCCAGCCAAGACAACTCACTCTGGGGCTTTCCCCAAGCTAATTCCTGTCACCTCTGGGAAGTTTCTGATGCCCCAAGTGAAGATGTACATGCCATTTATAGAGCTCTGAGCCAGCCTCTGCAGTCCCTCCCTTTGGGCACACACCGGAGTGACTCTCACAGAGGCTTCACCTCTCTGGGTAAAATGGGATCAGGATTCTGTCCCTCAGGTACTCCAGAACCTCACTCATTCGATGATGATGTCGTCAGTTATCTGATAATTGTTGTAAACTTGTAGTTAACCACAGATTTTGACTAAAATCTCATGTAATCAACACACAAATGTTCTCTGAAGCCAGCAAGGAGCAGGAGATGGGAGGAAGGACTGGGGGGAAAAGGAGCTCCAAATGCCAGACACAGCTTTACATTCCCAGTCTACACTTTGTCCTCCAGAGGTGACACTTTTGCTTCGTTTGGCAGCACTGTCTGACCCGGGAGAAGGGACTGGGAGGAGAACTTGGCTCAGCACCGACCACACGGCAGAGCCACTGATGGGAGAGCTGCCATCAGCTGAGCCCTTGTCTCGATGTTGGCAGCACATCCCAGTCTCCTGACTCCCCTTTCCTGTCCCCCACCTGACAGGACAGCCCATGACCCCATCCTTGGAACAGAGGAAGTGAAAACACGGCTCTGAACCGGCAGCTCCTCCTTGGCATTCAGCACATCCCTGCCAGGCCGTTCGGGACCCTGCACGCGTCAGTCTGGGCACTCTTCTCCACCTCCCTTTCTGATGTTCTCATTTCTGCTTCAGTGCCTGCTGGTTGGGGCCATGGACCTTCTCTGAGTGTTGATTTCCCCCTGGAGCAGCAGGAAGGAGATCAGACAGCACGAGGTGACAACATGCATTTGAATTTCCAGGCGTGGAGGGGCCACGTTTAATGTGTTACAGGCTCACGGCACCACAAACTTCCCAGAGGAGGAGGCAACACCTGGTAGGAAGTTTCCTGGAGGACCCCCGTGGGCAGGAAGGACAGCAGATGAGCCATGGCACTGCTCCCTCACCCCTCAGGAGCAGGGAAAGAAGAGCTTCCCTTGCAAAGCTTTTCATCCTCTGCCAGCTCCGATCCTGCCTAAGGAAAGTAAAACTCCCCAGGACTCGTCCCTTTAATCACAACTTTATGTTTCAGAATCACAGAATATCCTGAGTTGGAAGGGACCCACAAGGATCATTGAGTCCAACCCTCAGGTGAATGGCCTGTACCTTAAATGTGTGGGAAGGTGAGGGGGGAACTGGGAGAAGCTGAAAACCTTCAGCAGTTTCTGTACAGACACACACAGGTCTCACAAGCCACCAGTGGGGAACTGCCCCCTCCTGCTCCCTGGAACTGGCAGGTTTGGCAGAATCACAGAATTATTTTGGTTGGAAGGGACCTTAAGGATCATCTTGTTCCACCCCCTGCCATGGACAGGGAGACTTTCCACGATCCCAGGTTTTTTTGAGTCCCGTTCAACCTGTGCCTTGGACATTTCCAGGGACACAGGGGCAGCCACAGCTTCTCTGGGCAACCTGTGCCAGGGCCTCACCACCCTCACAGCAAACAATTCCTTCCCAATATCCCATCTAACCTGCCTTCTGTCAGTGGGAAGGCATTCCCTCTTGTCCTGTCACTCCAGCATTTGTAAACAGTCTCTCTACATCTTTCTTTCTTTTAGGCTCCCTTCAGGCACTAAAAGGCCATAACTGGATCATCCCAAAGCTTCTCTTCTCCAGGCTGAACAATCCCAGCTCTCCCAGCCTTTCCTCCCAGAAGAGCTGCTCCAGCCCTCTGATCATCTTGGTGGGAAGGTAATTTCCAGAAGACAATACCCTGAGTCCCTGCTCACTGAATTCCTTCTGAGGGTACAGAGCTGCAGCAAAATCATCCAGGTTGAATACTGGAGGGTCTTGATGTAGGGTCTTCCTGGCAAAAGGATGCACCACTTCTTCCTTCTCCTGTCTCCAGGAGATGGGAGAGAAGTTTGGTGAAGCTGGAACTTGTTAAAAAAACTGTTTTCTATATGAAATGTATTAATAAAAATGTGTGTCTCTTCCCCTACATTCATCACCATTCAGGAGTTGAAATAGTCTCTCTTTGCTCCCAGATTTTCCATTTGAGAGTTCTTCAACAAAATTCCAGAACACATTCAAAGGAAGGGGAGAGGAGGGGGAGGGGAATTATATCAAAATGCCATATTTAATCTGAAAATATTTCAACTGAAGTTTTCCTGCCAGCTGAAAATGAAAACACAGAAAGTCCCCTGGGAATGTTTGGGAGCAGTAAATAAGTTCCCTCTTCTATTCAGCATAATTCCTATTTATGTCACTGACTTGTAAAAATCTCCCAAATCACCAGAAAGGAAACCTGAGCAGAAATATGCAGGAATTTCTTCCTAGCTGGTCTTCCATCCTCTGGCCAACCCTGGAATGTGTTTATTGTGAGGGTGGGGAGGCCCTGGCACAGGTTGCCCAGAGAAGCTGTGGCTGCCCCAACCCTGCAAGTGTCCAAGGCCAGGTTGGAGCAACCTGGGCTAGTGGAAGGTGTCCCTGCCCATGAACAAGATGAGCTTTAAAGTCCCTTCCAACCCAAACCATTCCATGATTTTATGGTTCACCCACTCTCATCCCTGGCTCCCATCACCCAAAAAGCCCCCAAAGCCCTCGAATTGTTCATCTTCCAGCGTGTCCAGCTGGGCAAGAGGAGCTGAAAGGTCAGTGCTCCTGCCCAGCTCAGCAGCACGAGGTGCTGGGGGGTGACTGTGCTGCCTTCCAGCTCCTCTGTGACAGTATCTATCATGGAACAAACAGGATCCAAAGGCAGGACATCCATCCTGGAAACCACAGGGCAGCCAGCGGAGCTCAGTGTGTCACATTTGTCTTCTCGAGAGGGGTCGGTGCTTAATGTCAAGGGAAAATGGATGGTTGTTGCTTATCACCGTGGTGGGTGGAGGAGGAAAATAAATCTCAGTGTAAATATGCACTGAAAGAGCCACTTCAGGGCAATTCAAGAGCCCCCCAAGCCACAGAAGAGGCACAGTCAGCTCTCAAGTAACCACTGGGGTCAGTGAACATTATGAACTAATGAAACTCTTACAAGTCCTTTATCCACGCTGGTCTCAAACCAAAAATATTGTCACAGCAACCAAAGAGGGATTAAAAAAATAAACAAACGCCAATCTTCATCCCCCGAGTCTCTGATTAACCTCCCTACACGACAGCAGAGAGCTGGGATGGAGCATCTCCTGGTCTTGGCTTTGGTGGCACAGGCGTCAGCAGCTTCCTGCGAGTCTAATCACATCATTAAACCTCTGCCAGTCGGGTTTTCCGCTCCCAAAGCAGACAAACTGGTTCCCGCTGCCCGGGAAGAGGCCGGGAGAGATGATACAGCATCGCTGTCACCGCTCCCGCTAATCGTGCTGGTGATTAGCGACTCGGAATAACGACACAGGTAATTAGCTCCTCGTTCCGAATAATCACACTGCGAGCTCATGAAATCTCAGGTCTTAAAAGGGGAGAAGAGCCTTCAGCCGCTGAATCTGAAGCGTTTGGAGTGAACAGAAAGCTGCAAGGATCTTGGAAGGGCTCTGCCAGTGACTCCTGGAAAGCAGCTGTCGAGAAGTTTTAGAATTTTAAGTCTTAAAAATAAATTGAGGGGAGGGAAAAAAATCGGTTTTAGATCTCAGGTCTTCGCCAGCAGCTCCTGGAAAGCAGCTGTGGAGAACTTTCCGAATTTTAAGTCTTCAAAATATAAATAAAGCAATCAGTTTTAGGGTTGGCTTCATCTCCAGTCCAAGCACATCAAAGGAAGGCACGAAGCTGAGCCCGGGCAGCATGTGACATCCTGGGACACGGTCCTGCCTGGAGAAATCCAGCCCCGGGGAGTGGAGAGGAGCCAGACCCTGCAAGTGGGTGAGCTGCTGGCACGGGGACCAGCCAGCACTGCAGATGTTCCACGGAATTACTCAGGGGCCAAACCCAACTCTCCAGGTGGAGACACAAAAATTGGCCCGGCCGGGAGGCCTGGGGTGTGAACTTGGCCGTGGGACGTGGAGGATGGATCCGAGAGCTGTCAGCAGCCTGCTGAGCAACCCCCACAGCCTCAGGAACAGGGAGGGACGGGCTGGAGGCAGAGGATGGAAAACAGAGGGTGGAAAACAGCAGCTTCTCCAGCATCGCACACGTGCTGCAAGAGGAGCAGCGGCACAAAATCCTGGCTGGTGCTGCCGGGGCTGGCTGGGTGGG